ACAGACACACTGACCAGGGAAACAGAATTGAGAGTCCAGAAATAAACCCATATTTACGTGGGCAAATAATTTTCGACAAAAAAGCCAAAAACATAGAGTGGAGAAAGGAAAGCCTCTTCAATAAATCATGCTGGGAAATAGGAAGGCCACCTGGAAAAGAATGAAATTAGACTGTTGTCTATTACCACACACCAAAATGAACTTAAAATGGATTTAGGACCTGAATATAAGTCTTGAAACAATAAAATGCATAGAAGAAAACATAGGAGTGAAACTCAAGAATTTAAAGAGGATTTTATGAATTTGACCTCAAAGGGAAGTAAAAGCGAAAATAAATGAATGGGACTAGATCAAACTAAAAAGCTTTTGCTCAGCAATAGAAATAGTTAACAAGGTAGACACCCATCTCAATGGGAAAATATATTTGCAAGCTACGCCTCTGATAAGAACCTAATATCCAAAATATACAAAAAACTCATACGACTCAATAACAACAACAACAAAAAACCCCAAATGATCCAATCAAAAAATGATCACAGGATCTGAACAGACACTTCTCCCTAGAGGACATACAAATGGCCAACAAATATATGAAAAGATACTCTACATCGCTAGCTATTAGGGAAATGCAAATCAAAACCACAATGAGATACATCTCACACCTCGCACCTGTTAGAATAGCTATAATCAACAGGACAAGTAATAACAAATTCTGGAGAGGATGTGGAGAAATAGGAACTCTCATACACTGCTGGTGGGACTGCAAATTGGTACAGCCACTATGGAAAACAGTATGAAAGTTCCTCAAAAAAGTAAGAATTGATCTACCATATGATCCAGCAATCCCTCTACTGGGTATTTACCCCAAAGACTTGAAAACTCTTATCTGAAATGATATTTGCACACCGATGTTCATAGCAGCATTATTCACAGTGGCCAGGACATGGAAGCAACTTAAGTGTCCTATGATAGATGACTGGCTAAAGAAGCTGTGGTACATATATACAATGGAATATTACTTAGCCATAAGAAGAGATGAAATACTGCCATTAGCGACAACATGGATGGACCTGGAGATAATCATGCTAAGTGAAATTACCCAGACAAAAAAGTTGAAAATCACATGATATCACTTATAGGTGAGATATACACCTAAAAGCAACAAATGAACAGGAGAAACAAACAGATTCTCATGGACATGGATTACAGACTAGTGGTTACCAGAAGGTAGGGAGTAAGTGGTGTGGGGAGGTAGACAGGATAAAGGAGGCCAAATATGTGGTGACAGAAAGAAATCTAACTGAAGGAGGAGAACACACAGTGTAAATATATATATGCCTTACTATTAAATTGTACAGATGAATCTTATTGGATTTTGTTAACCAATATCACCATAAAAAAAAAGAATTCAGTAAAATATGAATTTTACTGCTGCTATTGACTGTTTGTTTCCCCTCAAAACCTATATGTTGTAATCTAACCGCCATTGTGATGGTATTCAGAGGTGGGGCCTTTGTGAGGTGATTAGGTCACGAGGGTGGAATCTTAATGAGTGGGATTCATGTACTTATAAAAGAGACCTTAGAGAGCTCCCTTACCCCTTCCACCACATGAAGGTACAGTAAGAAGTCAGTTGCATATGAACCAGAAGGAAGAACCTCAGCAGACACTGGATCTGCTAGTGCCTTGATCTTGGACCTCCAGCTGCCAGACATACGAAAACTAAATTTTTGGTTTTTATAAGCCACCTAATCTATCTTTTTGGTATAGCAGCCTGAATTAAGATAGGACATAAATAATATAGAAAGTAAATACCTTTTCTATATACAAATGACAAATCGGAAAATGTAATGAGGACTGCCACTTCTAGATAAGATGGAGTGGAGATACTTCTTCCTATTCCTCTCACTAAATAAAAATAAATATCTTGGAAATTATATATAAAACACATAAGAAGATTTTGAAATATGAAGAAAAACGGCAAGGTGGCTAGGGACAACAAGGCCCAGGGAACATGGTGGTGAGTTTCTCAAGTTTATTTTCTTTTTTTCTCATATATCCCAGACTGGGTGCTGGAGAAGTAAAAAAAATGGACATTGACCAAAAAATGACTCAAAGGAAACTTGCTTTCTCTAGCCAAACGTCCAGAAAAGAGGCAGCTTAGCAAAACAAAAAACTTGTAGACAATAACTTCTCTATTCTAGCCGAACACCACAGGAAAAACAGCAGCCTCGCCTCCATCAGCAACGGCCAAGTAAGGAGCCTGGACTTCTGCCCTCATCCAGGTGGAATGTAGTACTCATCATGAAGTGGTATGAGAGAACGGTGTGTGGAAAATAAGTGGGACTCTGCCTAGAGGTAACGAGGACCCCCTCCCTCTACCATAACAATGAAGGCCATGTGAGAAGCAATAACAAGGCATCCTTCTCCCCCTCAGCAAGGATGGTGTCAGAGGAACATGGACTCTACTCTGCCACCAGTATGAGGTGCTCCTTTTCCCCTAAGGTGTCAATGGAGAAGGAGAGGGGATCTAGATTTGTATCTTGACATGGCAGTAAGGAAGCAGTGCATTCCCTTTCCCGCAATGGTGCAGTATCAGAGGAGGTCAGCTAAAACAGAAGACTTAAGGAAGATCCAGAGTCTCATATTATAATACTCCAAATATTCAGGATTCAATCTAAAAATCACTCATTATAGCAAAACAAAACAAAACAAAACAAAAAAACTCTCAACTTAATGAGAAAAGACAACCAACAGACACTAACATTGAGATGACACAGATGGTAGAATTATGTAAAACCCATTTTAATAAATCTGTTTTAAAAATGCTTCAACCAGCAATTACGAACACACTCAAAACATGATAAAAATTAAATATATCAGTAAAGAAATAGAAGGTCTTAGGAAAGTAGAAGATAACCAAAAAGAACCATATGGAAATTTTAGAACTGAAAAAATACAATAGCCAAAAAATCCAAACAACTTAATGAATAGGATCAATATCAGAATGAAGAGGACAGAGAAAAGAATCAGTGAATCTGAAGAGCCAATCTAAGTAAGAGTAACACACAGTGGGAAAAAAACTGAAGAGAGCCTCAAGGCCTTGTGGGACTATAACAAAATCTAACATTCACATCATCAGAACACCAGAAGGAAAGGAGGAAGAAAGTCGGGCTGAAAAAGTATTCAAAGAAATAATAGCTTAAAATTTCCCAAATTTGGCAACAGATACATCTGTGTATTCAGGAAGTGGAATAAACTCCAAGTAGAATAAACCCATAGAAATCAATACCAATGCATATCATAATCCTGTGTCTAAAAAGTCTTGAAATAAGTAAGAGGGAAATGACCCCTGATGTATACAGCAAAAACAATTCCAATGATGGCAATTTTTCATCAGAAAACATGAAGGTCAGAAGGAAGCAGCACATTTTTCAAGTATTGAAAAGAACTATCAATCCCAAATTTATATCCAGTGAAAGTATCCTTTAGAAATGTGCCAGCAGACCTCCCCTGAAAGAATGGCTAAAGGTAGTTCCTGAGACAGAAAGAAAATGATGAAAGAAAATGTAATGGGACAAAGATCCAATTTTTAAAATCAACAAAAAGATAAAACACTTCCAGTGGTTTCCAGTGGTTCTCAGAATAGAATCTAGTCTCCTTTCTTAAGCTTAAAGGCTCCAAATGATCAGCTCCTTCCTACCTTTCTGGCTTCAGCTTCATTCATCCTTTCCCTTGCTCATTATGTTCAGGTCTCACTGGCTTTTTAATTCTCCAAAATTACCAACCTCTTTTCTGTCTCTGGACCTTTGCTTAGGCTATCCCCTCTTCCTCAAATACTCCTCCTGCTCCAGCATGCCTCTTCCCCAATCAACACATGCTCGCCCTCAGAGAGAAACTTTCCAATCCCAAATCTGAGTATCTCCTGTAAATTCTTTTTTATTGCACCCTGTACTTTTTGCCTTTTAGAACATATAATTTGTAATTATGTGTTCATTTTTTGGTATGTGTTGTCCTAGGCCATGTATATCCACAAGAGCAAGAAAAAGCTTTCTCTCTCACCACTGTAACCTGACATGTAGTATCTGATAGACATTCAGTAAATATTTGAGTAAATAAACAAATCAATTAAAGGCAAGGTTGGGGAATCAGGTTTCTGGGGGAAGCTTTGTCCCTGAAGATGATCTGTGCTGAGGTCAGCACTGGTCTTAGACATCACTGCTACAAACACCAGATTCCAATGATGTTAATTTTTGCTCATTTAAAGAAATGGCCTCATGGCCTCTGAAAGACATCAGACTCACCTGAGGTACAGAAAGTGGAGCATGGGTTAGGCCAGAATTTTTTCATCCAGAGGGGTAGAACACCAGGAGTGCTCCACATGTGCAGGTAGGTGGAGATCCGGCTGGTCTGAATGGCCACCAGATTGCCACCAACACCTATGAGGAGAAAAAGAATCTGGTTTCCTCTTCTTTAAGCCAGTCTCTGAGTTCTATCCCTTATTTAAACTTCCTCCAGGAAGTCTTCCTTGATTAATTCAGCACTTGCTCTCTTTTCCTTCCCTCCCATCTGACCACATATCTTGTTTGGCAAACAATAGTGGCTTGGACCTCATGTGTGAGGTATCAAGGTACTAACTGTATCACCTTAACAACTCTTAAGGTGAACAAAGTGTGACTGGCAAAGTAGGTTCTCGATACATATTTGTTGGGTAGAAGGAGAGGGAGAGGTAGAGAGGGAGAGGATTCAGGAAAGGAGTGAGGGTGAAGGAGGGAGGAGAGCAGATGGAGAGGTCTATGGGAGGATATCTTGATAAGACATTCGAGGCCATAGGAAGTGACTGGAACCAGAATAGATTGGAATACCCGAGGAAGTCAAAGAGACTATTTTTCACTTCAGGGTGGGAAGAAGAGGAAAGAGAATGGTGGGTAAGAGCAGCGAGAGAAGAGAGAAATGATCCCATGGTGACAAAGCGGGAGCTTAATGCAGAAGCTTTCGGCTTCCACAGGGCCAGGGCCAGAGGGCACAGCTGACAAAGGCCACACTGAGCTCCTTCTGCAGGTGCAGGCTTTAGGGCTGGTAGAGATCAGGGCCCACCCATGACTACTTCCTTCAGAGAGTGGGTTTGTGTTGCCCATCCCATTCTATTTCCTCAGCCCCACAGAAAACAACCTCTCTCTGGGCTAGATGTACCCCAGTGACCTCCAGTGGCAGAGACCAACTACCTCAGTGATCCAGAGGGTGCAAAAAATGGCCTATGGGCGAAGGATGTCTATAGATCTATTTTTGTTAGTCTACACAGGATTAAAAAAAAAAATTAAAATTAATTGGCAGCATTTACAAATTAGCCTTTAATCCTAATTCCCAGCTTCTCCTAACAAGTCAGCTCAGGCAAATCTGGAACTCAGTTCCTACCAGGCAGCAAGTGGCTGGAGCTTAATGGGCACTACTTCCTATACCAGGAACACATGCCCTGTTTCCCACTACTCCTCACTGCTTAGCTATTGTCTTACCTGCTTAACTCATTCAAAAGGCTCATTTGGCCCCTATAGGTACCTGAGTTGGTGCCATCCAAGGATATCTTTCCAAGCTTATGGCCGTTTGGGCCTGACTTGGCCATTGCTGTCCTCATTCATAGGTGCCATGCCTTATGCTGAGAATAGGTCCTGTGGGACTCTGTTTAAGTGCAGACGTACTGGGTAGCCCGCTGACATGCAAAGAATACAGGCCTGTGTTCCCACAGAAGTGGAGAGGGGTGACCCAAGGGACTCTGAAGCCTGTTTCTGAAGTCTCAGAAGGCCAGAGCCTGGATACCAAGCAAACTACACAATAAGTTATCATGTTTGGTTCCTCTCTTGATCAGTGGTCCCATTTACAAAGCCTTATCAGAAACCGAACACAAATGAAGCTTTGGTTAAAATAGGGGTCCTTACCACAAATGCTCACAGGGTCTAAGCCTAGAAGGTGAATAGTGAAGGGCTGGGGGGAAGAGAACAGGGAGTGGAGGAAAGTGAAGAGCACAGGTCCTGTCTCAGCAGCAGCCGATTCCTGCCCTACCCCTAGTGTAAACCCAGGATTGTCACAGCCTTGCTTTTTGAGAAGACAGAAATCCAGATTTTTATGTGTAAATGTCATCAATTAATATAAGTTAAAAAAAAAAAAAAGAAAAACCATGAGAGGCCAATATTCCAGTTCTGAAGGCCATATTCATTCTGTAGGTGCCAGAGAATCCTGGGTTAAATTCTGTGTGCCTTCACGGCATGGGATTTAGCTGTGTGGGAAAGCTCAGATCTCACCTATGAACAGCAGGGTGTGATCCAGTGAGCTATGGACAGGGCTTCTCCCTTGGGGTCTCCTTCTATCTGAGAAAAACTAGCCTCGGTAGTCTCTGCCTGCTCAGCTTCCTGACTGCCTGAAGGCCTGGGGTCAGACTTCTGACATCACTGTTGCTCAGGTCCCACCACCCAGGCCCTGGGGGCCAACCCAGGCCAAAGACCCCTGGTGATAGGGATTGCCAATACCTACCACATATGATGGGAGTAAATACGGCCATGCCTTTGTATTGCTCTTTAGAGATGGTTTTGTTCAAGATGAGCCCTCCAAAACTGGGGAGAGAGCAGATGTCAGTCAAATGACTTGAGTTTATGCTTGTTAAGTGGCCTTGTAACCTCTATACAAACTACATATCAGCCTGTCTTCCCAGCTTTGCAAACACTTTCCTTACCCCAACACAAAATATCTGCTATAGCCAAGCCGGTGGTCTTAGTGTCCTCTGCACCCAATACATGTGTTTTCATCTCTCGTCTGTATCTTAGCTGTTCTAGAAGGCCCTTCAGATAATGTCAGTCCACTAAAAACAAACTCCTTTCAGCGGCCACTTAGTTGGCTAGGCTCTGTTATGTGATAGCCTTGAACTGCAACTTAGCTATTCCTTAGCAGAAAACAAACCTGCATAAGTATCATCTTCTGCTCCTTGTTCTTAGAAGATGCTACAAAAAGCCCTCGCTCCCTCCGGCCCCTGTAGTTTAGCAAAGGCTGCTCTGTCCCTAGAGCCCTAGAGAAGTGAGATCAATTTGTGTAAGGAGCCAGGAGCAAAGTTACCTAGACCATAACCTCTCCTTCCTGAGAGTCAAAGTTAGGAAAGCACATCAGAAAGAACTGGGGCGGCCCCTGTCAGGGTCTACTAGTGGAAAGGGCCCTCAAGAATGAGGCTGGAGGGTGGAAGACCTGGGCTCAGCTGAAGGCCCAAGGGTCCAGGGTGACTCCTCTAGATCCCACCAGCAGCCATGCTGTGGAAATGGTGTTCACAGAGCCATTGCCTTGAGGCCAGGCAAAGGACTTCCTGCAGCCTAAGCAGGGGTCCAGGCCAGTGAGAGCTGTGACAACAGGGGAATGGGAGACCCGGTATCCCACAGTTCCAAGACAGGGCAGGGAGCCATGGCAGTAGTGTGCTCATCTGACGTTTCCAGGTTCAGTTCTTCCTGACTCTCTGGTACTCTGGCAATTGTAAACAGGACTGCCTCTCAGAGAAAATCTAGGGTTCTTGGTGAGAGGTGAGAGGAGAGAGAAAGAGAGGGGGGAGGTAGGAGGGGGGAGAGAGAAAAAAAGAGGTTCGACTCAACCAGCACCAGGATTTGTAAAGGGGCCCACAGCTGCGGTTCACTCTAACCATGCTCAGGGCAGTAAGCATTATGCTCCTCTAGGGGCTCCTTGGCTCTTAGGCCACTCTCCTGATCACAAAGCCAGGGGATGGCACAGAGAAGGAGATGGGGCAGAGGCCCTCGTTCATGCTCACCTGCTGATCATCATTGCTAGGATGATTGGGAACCACCCAGACTTTAGGATCTTCATGGTGGGTGGGTTCTGCTTGGCAATGAGGACCCACACAGGGGTCAGGGCCATGAAGCCGATAGAGACCAGTGGAGTCAGATACCGACTGTCTGGAAAGAGAAAGAGGAGGAATAAAATGGGACACATGCACGCATGTGGCCAGGGCTGCAGAGATGAGAGGTGGGCTGGGAACTAAGGGCTCTAGAAGTCTAGAAGTCCCACTAGAACTTCCAAAGAATTTTTTCCATCCTGTTAAGCAACTGGAAAAGTTGCTCTCTGTCCTCAATTCCTGCCACATTCAACTTCATTTCTCTGGCTTTTTTGCTATTTTCCTGACATAAGTACCCTCTTTCACCTCTTCCCGTCTCAACCTTATTATTATTATTAATGCTATCATTTATGGGATCATGATCGTGAGCCAGTGCTGTGCTTGGCACTTCCGGTGCATGAACTCATTTCATGTTCTCAACAATCCTGCTCAGATAGGTGGTGAGGAGGTGGCCCACCCAGGACATGAACCAGCAAGCAGTGAAATCAGGGCTATAGCTATAGTCGATTAGTGATGCCAATCCTGCTCCCTCCTTGACATCTTTGTCTCATAGAGCTTGGATAATAGCTAGCTTTGCAGCTATATGTGTCCTTGTGTCATCTGAAGATGGACCTGGGTCTGGATCATCCAACTTGGGCACATAAGCAGGCATCATTCTTGCTCACTTCCTTTCTGTCTTGTACCGTGTGTGCGTGCGTGCGTGTGTGTGTGTGTGTGTGTGTGTGTGTACCACCTTCTCATGCACACAGACCAAGACACTAGCTTTCTCTAGAACTGTCCTCTCATCCCTGACCCTGCCTTCTGAGGGCATTCAGGGTGATGGATGCCCCTCTACTGAGTGGGTCCCAACATTCAGAGATGTTAGATGTGGGTCCCCTTTCTCTCAGCACCATCATTAGAAGCACCTGCCTCTTGCCCTTCTCTGCAATAAGCAATCATGGTTCCTTCCTCTGCGACAGGGAGGTCTTCTTCCTGGAGCAACTAATAAAAGGACAGGACACAAGTGCTCAAGGCGAGCTATAGACAAAGTGCTTCATGGTGGAAGCAGCCAGCCTCTTTGCCAGAAGATAGAAGGCCGGCTCAATGAGCTTTAAGCAAGTCTCAGACAAGTGAGGAGACAGCAGCCTACAGGAGCGCCTACTTGCAGGACATTTTTGCATCTAGTCCAATTTTTCTAGAACTACTCAGAAGCACTGGCAGAGGTTCTACCTTATAATCTCCCAGCACTAGGGTAGTACTTCACCTGCATGTGGCTTGTCTTTCTGACTACACCAGCAGGTATGACGGTCGATGGCTCACTCTTTATCAGTGAAGATTCATCTAGTACGTACCAGGCCCAGTGACCTTTCTCCCCTCCAGTGCACCCAAGGTAAATTCATAGTCTAACTGGAGATATGGATAACCCAACAATGATTCAACATCTAATGAGTCCTGTCTTGGAACACACTATTCCAGTAGGGGTATAGCAGGGGCAGAGAGGAAGAGCCTGGGGACATCTGTGACTCATATTTATTTTGCAAATCAAACATGATTAACCTATATATAAATCTTGTTTTAAATTCAGTGTAAAAGTAAAATTAGGTCATCTTATCATTAGATCTTCATTGCCACTTACATGAAATTTGAGACTCTCCCAAACCATTAAATATTGTTGGTGGTAGACAATTCCCAGGGTGGCAAGGAGCCGATACCATAGCTGAGACAGAAAGGATCCTGGTAGCTGAACACTCTAAGTCAGATGTGTTTTCTTGCTCTGCTTCAGTTGCCAACATGTAAAAACGGGATGATGTCTCAAATCCTTGAGCCCATGTTCCCATGGGCAATGATAAATTGAAGCAACACTGTGGCTGCTCTTTCATCTGGAATATTTCCTCCTACCAACCATCACCACATGCCCCATCGCTCCCCACTGATTTCAGCACCATACACTCCACTCATTTATGCTACCTGCCTCGAGGAATGTGGGGTCCTGATTGTGTTCAGAATCAACAGTTACTAGATGCAAATGACTGTGTGCAGCCGCCTTAGCAAGATTATACCAGGTACAAGGCAAACAATGTGACGCTTGGAGGGGAGTGGTCAGCAGTGGAAACCCAGCAGGGGAGAACCATCTGGGCAAGAGTGATGCTGCCTTTCCACACTGCCCAGGGCCTGAGCAAACTCCTGGGGAGCCCTCTGGTAGAGTAAGGGCATGTTGCCACAGGACATGTGAACGTCTCTCTGAGCTGCTAAGCAGGTTACCAGGCTGCCTTCTGAGGAGTCCTGGCTTCCCCTGCCTTGTGCCTGCAGGGAGAGCATATGTTGCCACTGCTTCTGCCCGTGGCTGAGACATTCCTCCTTGGGAGCCACTTCTTGGGCAGTTGATATGTGTCCAATGTAAACTGCCTTCCCCAAGGCACTGTCACCTGTGAGGATGCACCGAAGTGGCCAGACCAGCCACGGGCCCTCCCTGGCCTCCTTGCATACCCTGGTCCTGAGGTGGAAACTGAAAACCTACGCGTCTGCTGACTTGAGGAGTGTATCCCGTCTAACACAGTTGAAAGAGCTTGAGATACTTGCTGGAAGACACCCTGATTTGTGCAATGACCTCAGGGTTTGCCTCTGTAAAAGAAGGATTTCTGACTTCACAACAAAACCCACAGGTTCCTTCTTGAGGGAATGGGAATGGTCCCTGATTTGAATGTTGCAGGCTGGGTGCAAACATTCTTACTCAGCATTGCTGGTGAGCCCCTCTTCCTTGGGCACCTCCTACCTTTGTGTTTATAGAAGAAGCTGCTCATGAAAGCCAGGATGGACAACGTGATAAGGTCTCCCAGGCTGGCTGCAATGGGTGTGGCGATGTTGTCTGGGTTGACCCCAAACTTTCGAGCACCAATCACTATACAGACCATCAGTATTCCTGCAGAGAGGAGAGAGAAGAGACTCAAAACTCAGGAAATCAACTGACCCCAAGGAGGCTCAGTGGCACAGTGGAGAAGTGGCACAGGATGAGAAGATGGTCAGGAGGCTGCTCAGTAACTTCCCTCTGTCCCCACAAGCCCAGACTGAAGCCAGGCTGCCTAAGGAGGCTGGGAGGTTTGGACTATTCTTTGTAACTTACAGGCATGATGCTAACGAATGGCCTGAAAACTCTGATGATAAACTCGAACTTGTCAGGGAGATAGCAGGCAGGTGGTTCCCACACCACTTGGAACTACATACATGAAGCTCACAGCTCCTCACTGCAGGGAAGACACTCTAAAACTGCTCTGGGCAATGGACTGAGCTCAGTTTCCAAGGACTGAGCAAGACCTCCTGTGCCTGTTGGAGTTCTTGGAGAAGAAGATGCCTGGGTAGAATGAGTCGTGTGAGAGGTTTGTTAGAGACAAAGCTTGTGAGGAAAAAAGGGAGGGGCAAAAGTGCAGGGTGGTCTCTGAGGTAGGAGAGAGGGACGGAAGGAAGGAAGGCACATGCAGACCGCAGAGCAGTGCTGGGGAACTCAGAAGGGCTATCAGAGGTCCTCAAGGGCATGTGAGCAGGTCCACATCTCTAGGGAACAGGCATCTATCAGCAGCCAGGCAGGGCCACCACTAGGTGGAGGCAGCATGTGGACTCCGAGTGCAGGGGTGATGGATTTTAGGGTGCAGCATTGGAGACCTGCTCCCTAGCTGGAGATCTGAGAGGTATCTTTTCATGGCCACCCCACCTGACGAGGTCCTATTTTCTGTTCTGACTCTGTTCTGAGGTAACTATCACATGTGAACTTCCAGCTCCTATCTGCTGTCTAGGACTTAATCCAACAGCATTTCATGTGGGTCTTTAAGGATAAACACTTTGTATCTTAGGTATTGGTATTTTAACGCTTTACCCAGTATTCTGTAACTCTAAAAATAATTTGAATTTTCACCTCAATGCTGTCCTAAAACTGCCATCACTGGCCAGTTGTTTGTGCCCTATTTTGTGACCAGGTCACAGCTACTTTACCTTTTCTGAAATATCTGTGCTAAGTGAATCCGAGTTTGCATGACTGAGCTGGTGGTCTGGTGGCAATCTCACAGGGAGTATAGATAGAGATAACACCAGTTTGAGAGCATTTATTAAAAACCACCACCACCACCTGGTCTTATGGCACAGTCACGTCGTGGTCACGCTGAGCCACTAGCAACATTTCTGATCTTCCACACATCTTTGGATAATCCCAGTTATGTCTATGCAGCTGAGCTTCACCCATCTTTGGGCTTCAGTTTCCTCACCTGTAAAATGGGGAGGTAAGAATGGCATTCTCTACAAGGCCCCAGAAGAACAAGGCTGGCTTCCTGAATGATTTGATTGTATTGTTTCCAGAGGAGACTTCATGCCAAGTATCTCCTGGTTCTATTTCTCCAGCAGGTTTGGTATACTCATCCTGCCCTTCCTCTGATCAGACTGAGTGATGGTGCTGCCCCTACCTCTCCACCATCTCCTCACACACATGCACAGGCATGTGACCAGGAACAAACATCCCACCAGGGGAGTACAGCTTGTGAATCTTCTCCTAGGCTTCTGTACTCTTATCTCCTTCCCGATCATGTACCCTAGTACAGGAATGCAGCCCTTCCATCGATTGGCTGCCTGGTAGGAACAGAAATCACCAAATAATCCACCTTGTTAACTTACAGAAAGCTAAGCTCAAAGGAGTTTTGTGAGGTCAGATGCGGGTACAGAAGTATAAATACAAATCCAATTTATAAAGTTATCACTTGTTCCTTCTTGCACTTACACATGTAACACACACACACATAATTCACAAGAGAACCAAAATCAAGTCCATTCATTCAGCAAACATTTGGGAGCTGGTTATATGCCTGGGCCTGTTTTAAGTGCTCTTATAACCATCAAGTTCTGTATTCGCAAGTAAATGCTTGTCGGGTGGAGGAACGGACAGTAAACAAGTAAGTGAATAAGCATATGAAGTAAATAAACAGGATACTAAAATAAAGCATGACTGATCAGAGAAGGCCTCAGAATGGAACAGGCACTAGCACTTAACTGGAATCATCCATATGCTTCCATACTGATGTCTCACTCTGAACTAGAATATAAATGTCACAAAACACCATCACTGTGCATTTTGCTCACCTGTGTATCCCTAGCACCTTAACAGTGCCTGGCTCACAGTAGATAGTCAATACTGAATAATAATGAACGGGTGACATTTTATCATAATTGCCCAGCTACCAGTTCTCCACTGATGTGTGTGAGGTCCCCGATGATGGTGTTATGTTTGCCAATGCCTCTATCTTTCCACCTTCTGTAGACATGTATGAACAATCTGCTGTGTGGCAGGCAGTGTGACAGAAGCGGCAGATGGAAGAATAGGATATGCCTTTCCCATGAACCCTGCTCTGAGGAGCTGACATTGTAGTAGAGAGGTGAGATAGAAAATGAACAAAGAAACAAGATAAGTTCAGATTTTCACAAGTACTCTAAAACAGGGGTCCACCAGTCAGTCCGTGGCCTGTTCAGAACTGGGCCACATAGCAGGAGGTGAGTGGCAGGTGAGAGAGTGAAGCTTCATCTGTATTTGCAGCTGCTCCCCAGCGCTAGAATCACCACCTCAGATTCACCGCAGATCATCAGGCATTAGATTCTCATAAGAGCACTGGTCCCTGGTGCCAAAAAGGTTGTGGTCCGAAGCTCTAAAAGGAAGATGGCATGGTGCAGTATAGCACGGTGGCAGTGGGAAAGAGAAGAAGGAAGGAGAGCTGTACCTGTGAGGGGGTAGTCAGAAAATGCCTCTCTGAGGAGATGAAACTTAAGCTAAAAACTGAGCCTTGTTCCCCACCGTGACTGTATACTACAGAACACACCACAGGCCCGTACGCAAGCTGTGCTCAAGAAACAGTAAAAGATTGACTGAATGAATGAATAGATAAATGTGTCTACAGAGCACATGCCAGTTCTTTAAATAAGCAGAGGGAAGAAAATTGAGTTAGCAGCTCACTGGAACACACACACACTACCCAGGATAGGGCTCACTGGTCTCTTCACCTGGCTCTTCTCCACCCGCTGGCACGACACTTGAGGCTCTACCATTAGTGCTCTATCTTTCAGAACTGAAAGCACAAAGAGCTGAAAGTGGAGCCCTGAGGGGTGGGGCATGACGGCAAGGCAGGAGAAGGAGCAGTGCTGGGGTGGGGGCACAGCTCACCTAGGGCAAATGCAGCCAGGAAGGCGGTGATGACACTGCTGGCACACAGCAATTCCATCTTCGCAAAGTCTAACTCCCCCCTAGACACAGCTCCCAGCAGCAGGGCAGCCATAGCAGCCAGGAGCCCCACGACGGTGGCCTGCACCTGTCAGGGCAGAAATCGGCAACATGAAGAAGAGTCCCTCTGACTACCTCTGCTCCTCCCCGTCCTTCATCACACCTCCTCTCTAACCTTGAGAGGTCGAGTTAAAACAAAAACACCTTCCTTCAACCCAATTTCTCTGAAAACCACTGCTTTCCCCTCTGCTCCTTGTTCCTTGCCATTTTCTATCACAGAATCTGATTTTTCATCTTCTACTCAGCCCTTAGTCAAGGGTCACCAGGCTCTGGCTCATGGCTCCTCTCTCACTGCTCTGGGAAAGTGTTCTGTAACCACCAGCAGCACAGACAACTGACCTCCCTCATGGAAACGTTCCCTGATCTGCAGCTATGGCTCAGAGGCTTTTGTGCACATTTCCCATCAATCTCCCCAACATGCTTTCCTTGGCACTTGCCCTGCATACTGATGCCCCTTTCTCTGAATTCTCCCCCATCCTTGGCTGTAGTTCCCATCTCATCTGGGTGAGGACACATCTCCATGCCCACTTAGGCCAGTACCAGGGGGTGCCCCAGATCTGAGTATTAATACTGGCATCTGCTCTCTACAACTCAAAACATCTCAATGGAAACATGTTGTTTATTACAGAAGGTTGAACAAAGAGCTCTATCATATATATGGATGGGGTGAGTTAGTCTTTTAAAGATGAAAAATGCTCTCTTCAGTTTCACCTATGTCATTCCAACCAAAATCCGAACAAGATTTTTCATGAAACTTAACTCATTTTAAATTTCACGAAGATAAGTAGATGTGTGAAAACATCTAAAAATTCTGAGAATGAGGATCAAGAGGGCGTTTTGGCATATTCGTTATCAACGTATTTTAAAGCTATAGTAATTAAAACAGGTGTATTAACAGAAAAATAGATCAGCAGGACTGAATGGAGTTCAGGAATAGAATCATGAATATATAAAAATTTAATATGATAAAAGTGGAATTTTAAATCTATATGAAATATGTGACTATTGAATAAATAGGGTAAGAGAAAATGGATATTTGTTTGGGAAAAGTGAAATAAATTCCCATTTTATACTATTTATGCATGTGTACACTTGAACATAAAAATCTAATGTGTGAAATATAAGAAAATATAGAATAATATGTTTCAGATTTTGGATTAGAGAAGGCCTTCTCCTAAAATCTATAAAGAAAAATATAGATAAACTTAATTTAAGTCCAAAAATGACTTCCATATAATACAAGATACCACAAAATTCAAAGACAGAGGTAGACTTGGAGAAAATATTTCCAACATCTATATCTAATAAAAGATGAGTATCTAGAATAATGAAGTCCATTTTACAAATCTGCTACTGCTGCTACTGCTGCTACCACCACCACCACCACCACCACCTGATAGAAAAATGAACATGGGATGTGGACAGAGAATTCACAGAAAATTAAATACAAATAGCTAAGAAACATGAAAAGATAATCAACCTCCCTAGCAGTCAGGAAAATTTTAAATGAAATCGCAATTTGATTTCATTCTATTTATTTGTACTTCTGTTGGTCTTCCTCTATTAAAAGATAAGCACTGTCTTAGTTTCTGCTGGGGTCCCCAGCTCTGAGAAGATAGCCTGAATCTCAGCCCTTATCTGTGCTCCCAAATAAAGGGATGAATAAATCAATGAGTGGATGAGATATACTATTTTTACCTATCAGACTAAGTAAAATTAAAATTTAAAAGATTGATAACATCAAGTACATATTGACAAATATGTGGGAAAATGGGTTCTTATACACTGATGGTGGTAAAATTGGCATAAGAATTTTGGAGGGAAATTTGGCTGTAAATTACTAATATACTTTATGATCTAGCATTTCCCAAGGAAACAATTGCACATGTGTACAAAGAACCATATAATAATAATGATGATGTTTAGAACTGCTATTTACTTTTTACTATTTGCCACTTAAAGTTATTTTCATTCATTAGGCCATTAAAAGTACAAATTACAGAACTATAAGTACGAAAACACGTCATATATTGTCTATGGGCATATTCATATGTATACTGTAGATGCAAAAAATGGTCTAGAAGAATATTTTCAATGCTGGTGAGGTTACAGAGAAATTAGTAATCAAACATTAATACTAGTGCTATTATTTAATACTAAGAAATCAAATATTTTGTAATCCTTTTGGGAAAATCTAGAGCTTTAAACTGTTCACATGTTCTGAACTTGTGGCAAGTTTTCTTAAGAAATTTATACGAAAAGAGAATATTTTTGTTGTAGTATAATGTATCTAGAATAAGCCTACAAACAACTGTTGCTGTGCCCACGGGGTTAAATAAAGTGGGAGAGGGCCGAAGTTGGGCAGGTTTGCATTGGCTCTTTTGGGCCAGCTCTCAGCGGCTATCCTTCAGTCTTACCAGGTAGTTTCCAGGCCCTACCATTTGTTAAAACTTTTAAATACCACTCTAGGGTATATTTAAAAGATGGCATATTCTGAAGCTATTAAAAAGTTTAATTATGAAACTTGCTGCACCATTTATGATTCAATGTTAAGCTTTTTAAAAATGGAGGGGACAAAATTATACCCAGGCTATCATTAGGACCATGTGCCAAGCCACTACCAGGCCCAGAGCAGGACTTAATAAATGTTTGCTGAGAATCAATCACATGGAAATGTACATGCATATGGACAAGAATTTGGTGAAAACAGAAAAGTAAAACCAGTGACTCGTAGCCGAGGCATTTATTACCTGCCCCTTGCTAGACCCTCTGTTAAGAGTATCACGAGCATCTATTTTAATCTCCGAAGCTCTTCAGCTATAGGCCAATTTGGCTATAAATTATCCATATACCTTATCGTATATTATGGGTACTCCTGGCCCATGCAACTCACCTCAAGTAGAGAAGGCTGACATCTAAACACAGAATTGCAACAAGGGCAGCCCCAGCAGCACATGCAAGGCACCAAAGAGCTGTACCTGGTGTCAGGTTGGAAATGAGATCTGATTGGAATCTCTAAAGGGCTTCATTGCCAGGTGAACAAGAGGAGAAAGGACATTTCGAGGGGAGGTAACTGCATATGCAAAGGCAGGACATGAGGGTGGTGGGTAAGTTAGGATCAGACCATGAATGCCTTTTGGGCCATTCTCACACTTGGACAAGGGGAACTAACAAAAGGGCTTAAGGAGAAAGAGGCCTGATCAGCTTTAGGTTTTAGAAAACATCACTCAGGTGGCCATGCAGAAGTGAGCTGAAGGTCAAGAAGCCTGGAGCAGTTAAAACAGTAAAGAGGTTTGCAGTCAGCTAGGGGACCAAGAGGCCAAGCAAGGAGAAACAGGGCTAGATTCCAGCATAGCTCAGAGGTAGAATGCTCAGTGACTAGATGTATGGATAAGGGGCAGAGAAGCGAAATGTAATTTGGTTTCCAGCTTGATTGAATGGAAAAGACTATTCACTAGGCACAGCTAGAGTGACAGAGTGATTGATTACCATGGGCAAGCTAGATGCCATGCTCCCCTCCCCTCCATGATCCACAGCTCGCAACCACCCACTTCAAAGGTAAAGTAAAGTGATTCGCCTGAGGGTCCCTGGCTGGCTGACTCCCAGAATGAGCTTTCAACCATCAAACAAGATTGAGTTAAGGACTTCAGAAGAGGTAAGTGTGAGGAGGGAAGGTGACAAGGCCAGATCTGGCTATGCTGTTTAGAGGATGCTTCTGGGACAGGCAGATGGAGGAGCCAAGTAGAGAGCTAGAAATCGGGGCTCTGGAACCCAGGTGAGAAGTAAAGTCGGTATCCTAATTTGATAGACAGAGAAATATGACTAAGTAAGGCCACCAGTTAATAAATATTGGCCTTAACTCCAGGCCTGTCTCAGAGTCCAGGTTCTTTATTCTGCCACAGGCTTCCCCCAGCCAGAGAAGCCCAGAAGGTTCTGGATAGAGCCATTTCCTAGATCCAGCCCCAGCTTTCACCGAACCTTAAGCCAATCTCTTCCCAGGCTCCTCCTGCCTTGGGTGTTCCTAACTCTGAGATGCCAAGGATGAGCATTTAGACCAACTAGGGTCTGCTAGAAGGAGGTACAAATTTGAAAGAGCATGAAGCATTTAAGGGACAAAGTCTTGCAAAGGCTGAGAAGGAAAAGGCAGAGAGGCAGGTGTGGGGCCAAGGAGGAATTTCCAGGCAGGAAGGATATGCAGAAAGAATAAGTAGGATCACATGCACAAGGCAATCAAAGGAGGATAGTAGCAACCTTGGCAAGCATAGTTTGGGTAGAGAGTGAGAAGAAAAGGCAGTTAGAACTCCAGGCTATGAGAAAGAGATCTGGCTGAGGGTGCAGGCCAGCTTCACAGAAGTGTTCTCCCCCTGTGGTCTGTGGACGAACTTAGTTGGAGTCAGATCTGAGCAAGTATAGGTGAATCTTTCCAGAAGCTTCTAGCTGCTGCAAGAGTATAGTCTGGTGGGCGTGGGGTGGATAAACAGGTGGCTCACATCTCCAAAGCCCAGTCCAGAGCACAGGGCCAAGGGCTCACTTAGCTTCCCCCATTCCTACCCAGAGAGGGCCTATCTGTAGATTCAAAAATGAGGAGGGGACGCATCAGTCAGACAAAGAGGAGAGTCACCTGAATGAGGGCGAGGTTACTGCTGATGACTCTGTGCTGATCCCGGGGGTCATCAATTTGTCCAGTGTTGGCCTAGGATAGAGAAAAAAGAGAAAGAGTAAGTCTGGCTCGGCCCAAAGCCAGGTTAATCCTTCCTAGAAAAGGCAGTGCCTCAGGGGAGAAATCAGCAAATACCCTTTCACTGATGTCAGAACAAATTATTCTGACCAGCTTTCAAAACTGTGACTGGGGATTGAGGGAGGAAGATGGTGGACTAGGTAAAAGCAAGGTTCGTTTTCTTCCAGGTCCGCATTGAAATTACAACCAAATTATAAAATGATCAACATGGAGAATCACCTGAAGTCCAGCTGATCGTAACATGTACACCTGATAATATAAAGGAGCCACATCGAAGCCGGCAGGAGAGGCAAAGTCGTGAATGGGGCTGGACCCTCACTCGCGGGTAGTGGAGGAACACAGGGAGGGAGAGTGAGGCTACAGGGGCTCTCCTGAAGGCGAGGGAGGTCCTGGTCTCATTTGGGAGATCCCCAGCCCAGGGAAGAGGAGATTCCAATAACTCTGACTGTAAAAACCAGAGGGGATTCCGGCTGTCTGGGTGAGATGGAAGGAGACTGAGACTCTAGATGGCCCTTTGAAGGACCCGCACACAGGCTTTCTGACCTGCGGACACTCACCCGGAACACCGGCAGTGGGTCAGAGTCTCCTGCGGGATTCATACTGAGAAAGTCTGCATTACCTGGAGTCAGAACGAGGGCTGGAAGGGCAGCCACCATTGTGCCTTACCAGGCAATCTACAGACCAAGCCAGCTTGACTGTGCAGACCCCTTCCACAGGGCCATTAGGAAAACACTGGCCTGAGGAGATCAGGCTACCCCACCCAACCTGCAGATTACCAGGGGCTTTTGTTGCTAGATGGCTGTCACACCCTGCGGAGATTCAGGGTCAAGCATTTGCAACTGGCAGCCAGCGCTGTAAGCCAAGCATTTCCGAGACAGGGTCAGGCAGATCACTGCTGCTAACAGGAACTTGGGCGGATCTCGGGGATCTGTGGGCCAGTCCCGGACAGCAGCTGGTCTTGCTATGAACGGTTACCAAAGTTGCAGCAAGACTGAGGCTGTATGGATCTGACTGCCACTGTCTCCTTGAGACACCGTCCCACCCTCCCCACAGATTGCTCAGGCGGCCCATTGACAGTGAACTGCCACCGCCCTGCCTGCCCCCGTCCCAATCCACATAGGCAAGACACTGGCTAGCACATGGCTGGAACTGCACAGAAATCAGTGGCAGGCAGACCATTGCTGCCTGTATGAGCTGCAATATCTCTTGAGGGGATCGCAGGGGTCTGTACTGGCCTGAGGGCCCTTGACTTCCTGAGCTCCCGCCCCATCCAATATACAAAGTGCCCGCTACACGTTGATAGGCAGCTGCCCCTGCCCTGGGGTGGCCCAAGGTGGGCAGCAGCTTACCTTGCTATGATTGGAAATTTGTACAGGGAGCCACAAGAGACAGAGCTGGCATGTAAACTGACACTGCAGTGGCAGAGGGAAATTTACTCAATAAACCCAGGAGACTCCTGGGGTCCCTGTGTCACCCAACATGCATATCACCCAGAGGCTCTTCCAGTTTCAGAGACTTACGGGCAACTGACAGGCAGTGTCAGACCTGGAGGAGCACTGGTCCCTCTGCTAAACTGCCAGAGGTCAGGGACAGGAGAAAACTGACCACTGCCTACAGCGTTGTCTCTTCCACTTACCTATAGCTCCAGCATAGGCAACAACCATCTGCGGATAGCTTTGTAGTTCCCACCAGGTAGCCTTGAGCAATCAAAAGCAGTGGCTGACCTTGGCCTATGGGGGAGCTCCTCCCGAGGGGCCACAAAACCAATGCACCCTGGGGGTGGCATGAGACCACAGCATAGCAACTCCTGACTAGCCCCATTAGCGGTACACACAAAGGGTGGTTGCAACAAGTACACAAGCCTGCTAGGGCAAATCCCATTCAGTGGGATCAGCCCCCACACAGCAATTCTTACCCTGTGAGTGCAGCCAGTTCCCACAATTGGTCAGCCTGAGCGTTAATTCCATCCACTGATGTGCTAACAACAATAAGGCTTGGTGACAACAGAAGATCACACACGACCCACACAAAGATCACATCCAGAGCCCCTGGCATAGGGGATCAGGGAGAGAGCGCCAATGGGCCACACAGGACACCTTCCACATTAGGCCATCTGGCCAAGGCCGAGAGATGAAACAAATATTCCTGACACATAAAAATGAACATAGAGAGGCTAATAAAATGAGAAAACAAAGAAACATGCCACAAATGAAACAACAGGAGAAAACTCCAGAAAATAAGCTAAATGAAATGGAGGCAAGCAACCTACCAGAGACAGAGCTTAAAATAATAGTTATAAGGATGCTCAATGAACTTATAAGGAGAATGGATGAGCACAATGAGAATATCGACAGAGAGATAGTAAGCATAAACAAGGACATAGAAACCATAAAAAAGAACCAGACAGAAATGAAGAATACAATAACTGAAATGAAGAATACACTAGAAGGATTCAACAGTAGAGTGGACGAAGCAAAAGATCGAATCAGCGAACTGGAAACAGGTAGCAGAATACATCCAATCAGAACAACAAAAAGAAAAAAGAATTAAAAAAAATAAGTATAGTTTAAGAGACCTCTAGGACAACATGAAGTGTAACAATATCTGGATCATAGGAGTACCCAAAGGAGAAGAGAGAGAGCAAGGGATTGAGAATTTATTTGAAGAAATAATAGAAAACTTCCCTAACCTGGAAAAGGAGTTAGACATACAAGTTAAGGAAGCACAAAGATTCCCTAATAAGAGGAATTCAAACAGACTCACACCAAGACACATCATAATTAAAATGCCAACAGTCAAAGACAAAGAGAGAATCTTAAAAGCAGCAAGAGAAAGGCAGCTAGTTACTTACAAGGGTACCCCCATAAGAATGTCTGCTGATTTTTCAATGGAAACTTTGCAGGACAGAAATACTCAAAGATATGAAAAACAAGAATCTACAACCACAAATACTCTACCCAGCAAAGCTTTCAACTAAAATGCAAGGTGAGATAGCTTCCCAGATAGGAAAAAGCTTAAGTAATTCATCACCAACAAGTCAGTATTACGAGAAATATTAAAGGGACTTCTGTTAAAAGAGAAGGGGTAAAAAAATAGAAATAACAAATACGAATAATAAAATGGCTGTAACTATATCTCTACTAGTAATCACTTTAAATGTAAATGGATTAAATGCTCCAATCAAAAGACACTGGGTCGCCGAATGGATGAGAAAACAAGACCCATGCATATGCTGTCTACAAGAAACCCACTTCAGATCGAATGACACTCACAGACTGAAAGTAAAGGGATGGAAAAAGATATTTCACGCAAATGGAAAAAAAAAAAAAGCTGGAGTAGTGATACTTAGATAAAAGAGACTTTAAAACAAAGTCTATAATAAGAGACAAAAAAGGTCATTACATAATGATAAAGGGCTCGATAAATCAAGAGGCCATAACCCTAGTAAACATATACGCGCCCAACAGAAGAACACCTACGTACATAAAGCAATTATTGACTGACATAAAAGGAGAAATCAGCAGTAATACACTCATAGTAGGAGACTTTTAATACCCCATTGACACCAATGGACAGATCTTCCAGACAAAGAATCAACAAGAAAACAATAGACCTAAAAGACACATGAGACCAGATGGATTTAACAGTTATTTTCAGAGCATTTCACCCTAAAGCAGCAAAATACACATTCTTCTCAAGTGCATATGGAACATTTTCCAGGATAGACCACATGTTAGAACACAAAACAAGTCTCAATAAATTTAAGAAGACTGAAATCATATCAATCATCTTCTCTGATTACAATGGTATGAAACTAGAAAAAAAACTGGAAAATACACAAACACATGGAGGATAAATAACATGCTACCAAACAACAAATGGGTTATTAATGAGATCAAGGAATTAATCAAAAGATACCTAGAAACAAATGAAAATGAAAACACAACAACTCAAAATTTATGGGACACAGCGAAAGCAGTCCTAAGAGAGAAATTCATAGCAATACAGGTCTACCTCAAAAAACAATAAAAAGCTCAAATAAGCAATACAGAAAATCAACAGCAAACATGCTGCTTATGACTATATGACAATAAATTAGACAATCTGGAAGGAATGGATACATTCCTAGAAACATACAATCTTCCAAGACTGAGTCAAGAAGAAGGAGAAAATCTGAACCAACTGATTACTACTAACAAAATCAAATCAATTATCAAAAAATTCCCAATGAACAAATGTCCTGGACCGGATGGCCTCACAGGTGAATTTTACTAAACATTCAAAGAGAATTAATACCTATTCTTCTCAAACTATTCCAGAAAATTCAAGGAGATGGAAGGCTTTGGAGCTCATTCTATGAGACAACATTACCTTGATTCCAAAACCAGACAAAGACATTATAAAAAAGAAAAAAGAAAAAGAAAAAAGAAAAGAAAAGTATAGGTAAATATCCCTGATGAATATAGACTCAAAACTCCTCAACAAAATATTAGCTAACCAAATTCAGCAATACATTAAAAAGATCATACACTATGATTAAGTGGAATTTATTCCTGGGATACAAATTTGGTTCAGTATCCACAAATCAATTAATGTGATACACCACATGAACAAATTGAAAGATAAAAACCATATGATCATATCAATAGATGCAGAAAAAGCATTTGACAAAATTCAGCATCCATTTATGATGAAAACTCTCAGCAAAGTGGGAATAGAGGGAACATACCTCAACATAATAAAGGCCATATATGACATACCTACAGCTAACATTATACTCAGTGGGGAAAACTAAAAGCATTTTCCTTAAGATCAGGAACAAGACAAGGATGCCCACTTTTACCACTCCTCTTCAACATTGTATTGGAAGTCTTAACCACAGCAATAAGACAAGAAAGAGAAATAAAACATATCTAAAATGGAAAGAAAGAAGTAAAACTCTTGTTATTTGCTAA